TCGGTCTTGGTCTTGCACTTTGCAAGACTAAGGCCAACACCGCCTATCTGTTGCAAGACCAAGACCAAGACTGGTAAAAAAATAATTGAAGAAAGAACTGGTTTAAACAAGAATTGAGGCAAAATAGTTACTAATACTTGTCAATTTTAGTTACTATATGTACAGAATTGGTGTAACCAAAATACTTTTGCATTTAACTCTTCTAATTTTTCGTTCAGACTTAGGTTTCTCATAACTAAAAAATTACAGTAATATCTCTCTAGTAATAAGCTAATAGACGACAACAAGACTATTACGAGAGTCTTGCGCAAGACCAAGACCTAGACCAAGACTGACTTTGCAAGACTAAGACTCGTCTCGGTCTCGCATTTTGACAACACTAGCTATTATTTATTAAGCTGTTATTTTCCATTGTAAAGTTTACTAAAACAGAATTACGAGATTTTCATTGCCTTGTCATGAATTGGTCAAAAGTTGTCTCACAAATTGTAAGTGGATAATGTTGGGATTTCACAATGAGAAAAGTTACTAATTTAATTTTCTGGAAGGTAACTTGATGCTATTTTGGAATAAACTGAAATAAATAATTATTTAAATATATTATCTTATCTAGAGTTAATACTCTACAGTAAATATATTTGAGGTTATAAACACATTCATGAAATATTTTTATATTTCATTTCTTCTTTCACACAAGTACAATGAAATATTATTTCAAACAATGGCATTGTCTTGATTCCGTGGTTTTTAAATATATTTTTTTTAATGTTAGAAGAACATTTAAAAGTATAGATATATAGTAAGGAAATTTCATTTAATTTCCTTGGAAACATATGATTTAGGATAAATAATATTTCCACCTTGATAAGCAGTTTTTTTTCTCCTTTATTCAATTATCAAATTCTTTAAAAGTTATATTTAGCATTTTTTCGTAACGTTTAATAATGTGAGATGATTAATTATTTACAATAAACCATATTAAAATTACTTTAGAGGAAGACGCATATGAACATTTAAGCCCTGTAAAGTGACAACAACGGTGATAAGACCTAATTGATATTAAAGACCACTTAATTATACAATAGTACAGTTTAATCAAAATCGTTAGAGTCGTTTTTGAGAAAATTATAAAAATGTGTTTCACCGTTGATATAAATTGTCACCTCCGGTAAGCCGACTTTAAACAAATAAATAAATTAAAAATAAATATAAGTTTCGTACGACTTTTCATTCTTGAGCTAGACAGATAACATACACACACACTGACACACAGACAGACCATTTTTCGGGACTTGCTTATTTGGACTCCGGGTACCCCAAAACGTGTATTTTGAGTTGAAAACTAAGATTAAAAAATTTTCACGATCGCAATACTTACCCTTACTATATGTTACATATATATGTGACTGAAAGTAAAAACACAAAACTTTAATTTTCTACTTTCCAGCAAAAATCGGGTCATTGATTATAATTACTTTTTTGTAGCTTTTGAGGTCTGCTGTCACTTCTATAAAATTCCCTATGCTTAAGGAACACTCTGTATATGTGCATATGCAGCTTTAAATTCATCTTATATACACACATAAATATATAAAGCTGAGCATTCAAACATGTTGAATCAATTTTTGACCGAACGAAACTGTTTTACACGGTTAAGCTTCTCGATCAAAGTGAGTCCATCCAAGAAGCTAGTCGCGCAAGAACCGTGTATTAGGGCCTTAATATGTCTTTCGAAATGCTCTAGGTAGGATATGCATCTCGAAATAATACAGAATCTGTTGTATAAGATATGTGTTGTGTCAGACTTTTTCACGAAAGAATGAAATAACTTAAATGCCAAAAATGTTCAGTTAAGTACTTCTAATAATACTTCTCGCCAGAAATTTTTATTTTAAATGTTAGATTAATAATTAATTGTTTTCCTACCATTTTTTAAAGTTAAAATTCCCAATGAGAAACAGAGTTAAAAGTACTTAACTAAAAAATCTTGACCTTGCAGTTAGTCGTTATATCAACTGAAAATATATTAATTGTGATCTATTCTAATAATATTTTAAAATAACTAAATGAATAAATTAACACTTTTGTTTACATAAGAATATATGTATCATTCAATCAAATTGGTGTATGAAAGACACTCCGAATATGTGTTTATATACACCTATATATTTTGTTCTTTTGTATATGTATATATAAAAATATTTATATATATTTCGTTCGTTGTGTATACGTATATATATCTCGTTTGTTGTGCATATGTATATATATTTTGTTCTTTATATACTTCATATCTACAAAGATTGAAAAAAAAGTATATAAAAAATGAAATATAAAATGAATGGAATGATATTAGAAAGACAAGTAGCAATAAAGCAGAATCATAAGTGACAATTGGTAATTCTAATGTATTAGATGTATAAGTATTGGGTTGTCAAATAAGTTCTTTCTCCAGTTTCTATACTACAGTTTCTAAACTTCTTATCTGGTGAATTAATCTTCAAGGTAGATTGTTTATCTTGTTTGTAATATGTCAACAACTATATCTGTTAACTCTTGTTGAAACTAGGTTAGTATTGTGTTTGCTATGGCACCGTGAATATGGAAGAAAACATCATTCATTATCAGTATATTTTGTTGTATTATTTTAAAAAAGGTAATCGTGTTGCAGAGTACCATAGAAAAAATTGTAGTGATTATGGGGACGATGCCTTAACCGAACGCACCTGTCAAAATTGGTCAATCAGGAAATTTTGACATCAATGCTGCTCAACGGTCTGGTCGCCCACAAGAAATTGAAAAGAGGAACGTTAAGGCTATTGTTGATCAAAATCCCACCTAATCATTTCGAGAGATTTCTATGACTCTGAATGTGTCGCACACAAGTGTAGGAAACCATTTTCACAAGCTTGGCTATGTTGCCAGGCTTAATGTTTGAATCCTCCACTCTCTAACCGAAGTCAACCTTCGTCAACACGCATTTCTGTTTGTGCTTCCCTACGGAAACGGCAAAAAAACGGAACCGACCCATTTTTGAAAATTTTGGTAACAGGAGATGAAAAATGGACATTTTACGATAATGTAGTCCGTAGAAAATCTTGAGGACCTAGTAGTGAGGCTCCTAGAAGAATGTCAAAACCCAGATTGCATCCAAAGAACATAATGCTTTCCATATGGTGGGATTTCAAGGGTGTTATTTTCTATGAGGATTCGCTACCAGGAAAACAATTGATTCAACTCTTCAATGCTTACAATTAACAAAATTGGATCAATTAATTAAAAATAAACGCCCAGAACTAGAAGGATGTTGTGTTCCACCAAGACAATGCTAGGCCCCACATCTCTTTGGTCACCCGCAATAAATTATTAAGCCTTGATGTGACCTTTTGCCCCACCCTCCCTATTCTGCAGACCTAGCTCCAAGGGACTACCACTTATTCCGGTCTCTGCAGAACTCCATGAATGGAAAGAAATTTCAAAAGGAAGAGGATACCAAAAACCACTTGGACCAGTTTGTAACAATGAACTCCAGACATTCTATGAACATAGCATTATGCAGTAAGTGGAAAGATGGGAAAAAGTCATATTAAATAGTGGTCAATAGATTTCAGATTAAAATAAATGTTATGTCTATAATACATTCAGTTTTATTTCACCCTGAAAAATCGAAAGAACTTATTTGGCAACCCAATATTTAAAAAAAATAAATGAATATGATGCAGGGCACCGAAAACTCCTGAGAACAAAATATAAATGTATATTAAAAAAGCTTATTTGAAATATTTAATTTAAGTGATTAACCACAGCTACACAATAAACTTGACAAAAATTACTTAAAACGAAAACACAATTTGTCTTTCTTAAAACTATTTAAAGAGGACTTACCTACTTAACTAATACAATATAAACTTATCTAATAATATAAAATCTGTTTTTTAAAAGTAATCGTAAATTAATTTTATTTATAATCCTCCAATTATACTCATTAATCTTTATAGATTTATCTCACGTTGTGTAAAATAAAGATGTGGTTTTATATCATGTCATCTAAAAGTACACTTGTATTCACCAAAAATAACTACAATAAATTATTGCGCAAAACTACAAAAAAAAAAAAAAAAAAAATGTAAACAATGGCAGAAGTGCATGGATTTATCAATCAAATAAAATAAAATTAATCCAATAAAAAAAGTTAGAATTATTTTTAAAAGTACTTAACTGAAAAATGTTAACATTGGAGTTACGTTATTCTGTCGTGTAAAAGTCTGACCCGAGATATATCTTCTCAATTATAATACAAGATGCATCTATAATGTGTAACATAAGTGATTGAAGTCAATTTTTTTCAATTTCAAGGAGATTTTTGAGCAGATAAACTAAGCTAACTTTCATAAAAAAAAAAAAGGAATTACTCAGTTTTTGTTTTTATCAACGTCCCAACTACATTACAGGCCCTTTTGAAAAACTTCGTTCTTTAATAAGCTTTAAGTCCATATTAATTAAGTTTAGGTTTATCACGGAATAAGTTGAAATTCATCTCGAGTTGTTTTAAAAAATTGAGGTTCTTTGATATCCTATAATCTAAAAGTAGTCGTCTTTTCGGCAAAAATGACTAGAATAAATTATTCCAAAGCTTTGAATTCTTTTTTTTTTTGTCACTACCCGGAATGATTATAATGAATATACAGTCATTAATAGGCTTTCTTTTTATAAAAAAAAAATTAAAATAATTATCGAATATTTATCATCTAAAGTGATAATGAAACTGAATCATCTTTTTTATTTAGATCTATGTTATAGAAATTAATTCGTATTTATAAGCGACCGACAAAAAGTTTCCAATCGTAATACTCACATTTAAAATAAAGAAACCTGTCGATCGTTTGAATTATTTTCATGAAAAGTAATAATCCATTGCGCCATTAATAATTTATTTTGGATATCTAAATCCCTCAATCCTAAATTATCTAACTTTTCCATAATAATTTATTTTACTTTTTTACCTGGTTCTGGGAAGCGAATCCCAAATTCGTCGATGGCCTGGGCTACCGATGCTGCATGAGGGTCGTGTTAAGTGTAACTGAATGATGACCCACTCTCCCCTAACAATCACTCAGGCCTTGAATCATTCGGGTCGTTGTAAAACGGAGGTTACGTATTTAATGAAACGAGAGCGCATCGAGGACTGAGATAATTCTTTATTAATTGTTATTAAATATATAGGTCAAGGTTTCATGAGAAAATATTTTCCTTGGTGATATTTTATTTGAAGGATAAATTAACAGTTTTATTGTTTCCAGCAGTTTTTATTTATTTTATTTTATTTATATATTGAAAGCTTATAAATAAAAATAGTGGTAATTCAAACGTACTTCGAACTTATAGCGTTGATATTTTGTGTATGCAATGGAAGAAACTCATTGTCAGTAAACGTCCGAACATTTTCTACCTAACATGAGAAACTTACTTATTTAGCTCACTACATGAGAAGTTAATAGCTCATTGATCTAAACCAAATATCTTCTTTTTTATTTTTTTTTTGTTATGCAACTTCAAAAAATATTAGATACATATTTCGGCGTTTGTTCTAAGAGGTACGAGTCGAGAAAAAACAGCATAATCTATGTTGTTTACTTCTACCTTTGCTTCGCCAGGATTTTCAGATTATTACCTATTTACCAATAATAATAAGAAAAACAATATTGACCATTATAAAAAATGAGTTATAACATATCATAAATAACAAAATACAAAAGGTGCTTCGGATAAACTAGGCCACGTATTTTTTTTTTTAATGCAAGTTAGATTATTTTTTAGTTAGATTTTTTTTATAAAACTAGAATTGTACCTTTTACAATTTGATTTTCTTCGAGAAATTTATTTCGGACCGTTAACTAAAGCATTAATAACATCTCAGGATTTCCTTCTAAATTACCGCTTTTCCAACCCATGTAATAATACGATGGTCGGCTGTAAGTTTTGGTCAGCGGGGACATTAACTGTGGGTGTGTATGGGATTAGGGTTGTGGGATGGTAGGGGGGTGTAGTGTTTTGTTGTTTGCGTGATTTTTATTGGGGAAGGAGGAGAGAGTGGAGTTTGTGGGGGTTTTATATGTGGGGGGGGGGATTGGTGGGGGATGTCGGGTTGCGGGGGGGAGGGGGATGAAGTGGGGGGGAAAGTGGGTTGGGGTGTTATATGTGGGGAGTGGGATGTAGCAAGTTGGTGAAGGGGTTGGTTGTGGCTGGGGGGGTGGGGGCGTGGGGGGATAGGGTGGGTTTGGTTTGAGATTTCTGGATTGTAATGGTACCTTTCACTTTTTAATTTTTATGGTTTTGTTTTGTTTGGTTGGGGTTGGGTGAATGATTATCGGATTGGTTGGGGTGAAAATGGGGAGGGAGTTGTGGATATTTTGAGTGGTTTTTTGGTTTTAGGGTATGGAGGGTTGTTGTTTGAAGGGAGTTAGGGGTGGGATTGGTTTTGTTTTTGGAGTGTCTGTAGCAAAGGGTTGTTCCTAGAGTATATTTTTTTTTTTTTGCTTTGTTGATTAAAATGGTTAATAATTTTAAAAACTAGCAACTTATGTTTTAATGTCTATTTTTATTTAATTGCATAGAATTGTATATAAAGTTATATATATAATTGACAAATTTACTTAAATAAAAAGATCATCAAACCAAGAGTTAAATACTACATATTCATGTGTGTGTGTTTTTTGATAAGAATATAAATACAACTTACCACCAATTGTTTGCTTGCACACTAACAATTGTCCAACAAAACTAGGAAATCGACGGTAATTTCGGTAATTTTTAGACAACTGCTAGTACCAGACCGATGATTTTGGAGGAGGATTAATGCTATCTTTAATATAGGATTAACTCTCTTTGATAATTTTTGTCTTTGTTTTTCATGGCCGGGAGCCAACCTCTGCTTATTCCCAAATATTTGTTAACTCTCTAAGATTAGGGAACCATAAAACGGTTAAATGACGTACGAAAACACCCATAATTATATTTAAAAAATAAATATTTATTTTATTATACACATAATTAATGAATTGTTCAAATTCAATCATAATTAAAATTAGTGCAATACCAATCCGGGATAACATATACACTTCCCTGTAGCAGGTTAATTAAGACCTTTATATTCCCTTTCCTATTTATAAAGAACAAATATGCATCTTATTTATAAGTTAAAATTGCCATGAATTAACATTATAGTTACTAACTTTTATTTAATTACGATTTATATTTTATTGAAAAATAGCATGAGATTCAATGTATATATATATATATATATATATATTATATATATATATATATATATATATATATATATATATATAAATTTTACTGGTAGCAATAGACAATGGACAGAAGTAGGAATGATATTAATTTGACTCATTATTTTTATTTTAGATATAAGGACTTTTATTGTAATTGTAATCTATTTTAAATTTTAGCTAAGCATAGATTGTTTTGTGGACTGTTATTGTTGGTATCGTTATTATTCTCGGACTGTAGGATCGGGGTGCGCGTTGCAGCCTTCAGTAGCATGCTGGCTTGTTGGGGGGTATTGTTGGGTCTGTAAGCGTGGTGCCGGGATTGAAGTATCGATACTCAATTAAAAGTAAGAAAAATTTGATTTTATTGTTGAAATGTATGAAAACTTTTGATTGCTATACTAATGACAATAATTTTTTTTCCAGAACGGAAGAGGATCCCATTATTTGTTTTAAAAAACAGGGATCGAAACGTTTTACAATAAATGGAATAAATTGTTTGTTGTTGAATATGTTGTTTAAGTCATTTAAGTGTATTTCATGACATTTTATCCCGACTATAGTTAATATCTTTATATATATATATATATATATATATATATATATATGTATATATATATATATATATATATATATATATATATATATATATATATATATATATATATATATATATATATTATATATATATATATCAATTTTATAAAGCTGTAAATTTCGTATATTATGGTTTGAATCAACTATTACCTAACATTAAAACAAAAGAAAGTTTTTCCTTAAAAACAGATACGTCAGTTGAAAAAAAAGAGGCCGTGCATATTTTGATTCTTATTTACAAAAAATCAATAAATTTAAAAGTTAAATCATTAAAACAAAATCTAATTAAACTAAAATAAATAGGAAGTAGCTGAAGATATGCACGCTTTATTTGTCGACTTAAAAGCATTAAAAGTGTCTGAAGCCTTCAAAAGTTCTTAATGGTTTGAGACAGGGACATGGTGTCTCACCGATGCAACTTTGCACTGGAGAAGTTGATAAGATCAACATCTCGTGAAAATGGAGTACACTTCAGATTGAATCATAATCATAAATCTTCAGACATGAGTATGATACAGCTGTTATGGAAGTAATGAGAGACCCTCTATGAGAAAGAAGAGGGCAAAGAGACTCCCATAGACTCTAATAAAAGAAGCACAGTAAATCGGCCAAAAGTAAATGAAAATAATACAAACTATATGATTGTAAGCCATAGATCCAATCTCTCCAAAAATATCTGTTTATAAGAGTATCGTTCCCGATAAAAGAGAATATTAAATATCTGAACTCCACAATAACGTCATATGGTGACTAATGATCGGATAGAGATTAGCGTAAAGCAAGCCTTTATTTTAAAAGGACACAGTTTTTATCATGATAGAGTAAAATACTGTGATAAAAACCAGTTCAGATATAAGACTGCGAGACCTATACTTTAAACAACACAATTGAAAGAAATATCGAAAGATTCGAATGGAAATTCCTCTACATGATAATCAGAGTAATTTGTGATCAGAGTCCTAAGGAATGGAGGAAAAAATTCATCAAAGTAATGCTGAAAGGAACTGGTCAATCAAGATCTCATGATATGAGTTCAAGGAATTTGAAAAGAGTGGGGCTTGTAGCTCGCAGCAATCCACCAGGAAACCTCTACACAACAATGAATGCATCTTGTGTAGCAGGCCTGATGCAACGTCTAAATTTAAAAAGCAGATGAATAGATCGAACCAACAAAGATAGCGTAGAGCAGTAAGCTGGAAAACAATAGCCCATGGTAGGCAGAGATGAAAAGGTTAATTAAGGAGGAAAAATATCTGAAACCTTTGTTAAGTCAAAAAAAAAAAAAAAAAAAAAAAATATATATATATATATATATATATATATATATATATATTTATATATATCTTGATTATTGAATTAAGTATTTATCTAGGTAAGTATTTTTTATTTTGGATATTATTGATGTTTTTTCTTCTATAATACTAATTTTTATGATGATAAATAATTGTTGAAACATTCAGGGAATTTGAAACATTCCAACATTAAGGAAGGGTGGATAAATTCCCGGCTGGATTGAAGAAAATTTCTAAATCCAGAAAAGAAAATAATTCTTCACCATAATTTATAGGTCTACTGATTTTAGTAAACTTTAATCTACTTAATTTTATCATGCAGCTGGTGCCGTGAATATTAACGCCATTCCTAGGATCTGCTTTTGTACTCATAAAAAATGGAATAATCGAATATATTTACAACAGTTAGAAAACAATTATTTTTTTTTAAATACGTTGAAAAACAAAGTATATTGAAAATAAAATTCCTTCCGATAGTAATATTAAATGAATTACACCTCATCTTTAACGTCATTAACAAACGGGACGTGTCAATGTCCTTGTCGAATCGCTCGGCACTTCTTACGTAGCTGAAGAATATTTTTATCATATAATAATTCAATAAGTTCGTACTACATTATGACCGTCATCATTTATTCTTTTAATATCTTCATGTATTATTACTCAAAGGAGTTTTTTATCGGTACGTCATACTTTTGTAAATTCTTCATCAAATCCAATGATGCAGCCAACATTTTGAAGATTTTCTTCTCCTTAAGTGGGAAAAAGTTATCTCGTCTCTCCAAAATATTATGAAGGAATAGTATCACTACAATATTGAAAGAAAAATAAAACTACTTTGTTTCAAATATCCAAGAAATAAATTGAGAATTTTGAAGAAACTATAATAAGTATACATTT